GTGCGCTCTTTTGGGGTGCCTCCCCCCCCCCCCCCCCCCTGCCATGGCTTGAGTTGCACATGATACGCATATCACGTGTCACTATGAGAAAAATACAGAACGAAAGTCAATCACTGCATACATAACAAAACCATAAAAGTACAAATATATACCGGTAATGTTTCCTGACCTAATTTTCAAATCTATCGGTATAATGTAGGCCAAATGCTAAGAGAATAGCTGTGTTTATGCTATATTGTCTGAACGTATTCACAAATACGTTCGAAAAGATTTAAAATGTATTCACGAGTAGGTTCAAATGTATTTGCCAGTCAAATTTTTTTTACTCCACATTCCGTACGTATGGGACAAATTGTTTGGAAATAGCAACTATATCGATGGACTGTAGCCCGTCGACTGCCCAAAGGCAGCTGGGATAGACTCCAGCACGCGCGCGACTCTCATGAGGAGATGGATGGATAGACTACGTGTTTGTCAGTTCTCTATAGCAGACAGTCTTGACCATTTCCTTTGAATTTTCTGGGATTTTTAACTGTACGTCTGAGAAGGTACTTTATGGATTTTTAATGAGACTTGATTTGAGATTATTGAATACAATGACACGTGTATATTGGATTAAATGAGTTCATTTCCAAATTCAACTTTGGAATGATTTTCCTCACCCCTACGTAACAGGTTTCTTGTCAATCTAAGTCATACGGTCTGACTTAAAGAATACATTGCATAGCTTGTGGCGGAAATACTGCTAAGGAAATCCTTCCTTTGTGGTTGACATATTTCTTCCTTTTGCTTTTTCTGTCTTCTAACCTGCTTGTTCGCTATTTTCTCCCATGCAGCTCCAGTTTAGATTGCGTGTTATGTGATTGTCGATGTTGCAAGTTAATATCTGTTTGTATAGAATAGCTTCTATTGATCAAGTTAGCTATTCACTAAATACCGTTTCAGTAAAGTACTGCAAAGATCCACATGCACACCTCAAATTAAAAAAAAAAAAATAAAAAAATCATCATCTGCAAAACCCTCATATGAAATTTGGGTGAAAACAGATTTGGTCCTGCCATTTCTCAACTCCGCTGTCAGTGAGGAACCCGAAAGACAAACATTCCAGCATTGAAGAAGATCAATCCACATGTTCTACTTTCTTACTGATGATTTTTGAAATCTTCTCTCAGTCTTCTCAAAGTCAGGGCGCCTGGCTTTGATGGTTATCCAACGGCTGTGCGTGCATCTTTGTGCTGAGGAGGGAGTTGATGTAAGGCCAAATCCGATCCGTTTCGGTACCAGAAAATGAGTGGAGGATTCCTTGTGACCTGAGTGCAGAAGTAAGAAAACAAGTTGCAAGTGTAATGGGACATTTTCATAAAAGGTCATAAAATGCTTTGGTTAAATCCTAACAAGGCAATCAAATAATCATAACAAAACCGACCAATCAGTCAGAGTGCTGTGCTTTTATTGGTCAAATAAAACACATTCAGTTTCTATTTATTCCTTCAGTGTCTAATTGTTTTTTTTTTTTTTTTTTGGAATACGAAGGGAGATGTGTACATAAACTGTGCATCAGCTTTTCTTGCAGATAATGAAAACAAGAATTGACTGACTTGTATAAATCGATGACGGGTTTAGCCACATCTTTGTAATGTCTCAATCTTGCCATCAAAGCTTCTGGTTTGTCATCATCGTGCTGGATCAGTGGTTCCCCTGTGATGTCATCTTTGCCCTTTGAAGCATCACACAATGAACAGAGAAATAATAAAGTCAGATCTCAATGGACCAAACAGGCCAGCCCAGTAAAAAAATGCACGAATAGTCTGTATACAGTACTTGGATAAAAACAAACTTCATCTTACGTGGGAGCGAGTGTAGCCCCATGAAATGCAGCTGCCAGGGTAATATATGCACATTCATGTTATTGAGTGAATAGTATCGCATGTTTTAAATGTTATCTTCTTTTAGGTGGTATGCACAATCCTGTCATACTTTTTTCAGTGATGGTCCTAGTACACAGTAAGTCGTATTGATAGAAGAGAGAACGATCAAGTGCCTCCTACATTTTCTGCTCATGAGTTCCATGTAATCGATGAGTTATGACATAAAACTGAGGCGCCTTTTCTGTCACATGATCTGCGCTCTTCTGCATAATAATGTTGCACAACAATATGACTGACTCATTTTCCTGTGGTAACTCAAAAATTGTTTCTGTTGAGCCAAGTCTCGATTGAGCTTCAGTACTGAAGTAAGTATTTTCACTTCACTGCAAGGCACACTGGCCATTGAATGGAAAGAAGTTTGCTTGATAGAAACATTTTTTTTTAAATTGCATTCAGTAACACCCCTGTTGATTGTACACACCTATATGTGTATGATATATTGTCAAAGGTGAGTAGTGTAGCCACAAATTCACTTCAAGTAATAGTTACTTTAGAATATGAATCAGGAAAAAGTAAAAAGAATTTCACCACATAATGATATGGACATGTCCTCACTGTAAATGAAAAATGGTTGTCAACTGACCGACCTTCTTTAAGTCAGAATTGTCTGAAATTTACTCAGGAAACAACACATTAGGCTCACCCAGCAGAAATTACAGTCATACATCGGTTATCGACCATAATCCCTTCCAGAAGGCTGTTCGAAAAGCGATTTGTTCGAAATCCGAAACTATTTTATTAGCCCAGGATTAGGGGCTAATACACTATGCATAAATTAAAAAAAACAGCCAGATTTGTGTAAATCACAACAAACACGTCTGCTCACAATGAATGTTACATGAGAAAGTGTCCTTGTGTAAGTAGGCCAAGAGGAGTCGAGTGGCGTATTCGGGTTTGTTCAGTTTGGTTGGAAACCGGTTTTCGGTCGTAATCCGAGGCGTAAAAATCTCAAATTTTCTGGTCGAAAACCAATTTGGTCGATAACAGAGACGTTACATTGTGTGTGTGTGTGTCTGTGTCTGTGGTTGTGCGACTCCCTTGCTCCGTTTAATTGGTCAAACATGACAAGTAGTTCCATTCAGGGGTGTGGCCAGAGATTTTTCAGTGGGGTAGCCAGGGTAACACAACGCCTTGATCAGGGATGGCCTACACAGAATTTCTAAGCGCGGTCAAGGCGTTGAAGATGTATTGTTTGGTAGCATCAGTATTGCATCTCCGCTTTTTGAGATGATGTGGTACCGTTGGCTTCTTCAAGCCGTTATCTCCAACTCTCACTGGAGCGGTTCGCAGCAGACTATGCACCTCCAAATCTGAGACCATGGCCCTCTGAAGTAAGAATAATTATACTGTGTTGTTTTTCCATGTTTAAAGATGTTTCGCAATAGCTCGCAATAGCTTTGTGCCGCAATGGCTCGCAATAGCTTTGTAGTCTTTGTATAAACAGCAATGTCATAGGATGTTTATGATGATGAGCAATGTCATTTGTTAAGAACAAAGATAGCGTGACGTCAGGCACGCTTAGACTATAAAAGGAGAGCTTCGGATACTCTTAGTAGAGCCGAGAATTAGGAGAGTCGAGAATCAGCAGAGTCCAGAGTCAGCGGAGTCAAAAGTCCAGAGTGGTATTGAAGCTCGCTCTACCTGGGGTGTTGGCTCTCCATCCTATTGACGCACGGTAAGAGCTAGGTACTATTCTAAGAGCTCGATACACTGGTATTTGCTTGTTTGACATATTCTGTGGCGCTAATAAACGTGCAATTTGTTAGTAGCAGATTTGTCTCTTGTGTTTCATTTCTGAGTGCCTATCTCCAACGAACCTATTCTAAATTTGATACTGAGCCAGGGCGAGGTATCAGAAATGTTTTAAAACAGCCCACAATAAATGGACACTCGAAATGTATTATAAAACTGGACTACTACTATAAAATAATTAGATTGTTCAGGTCTGTGTGAGTGCATGAGGCAATTATTTGCCTCATGCAGTGCAATATTTTCTTCGCATAGGACCAACTGTGCAGCTCAATTAATTTTTTTGTATTTTATCTTTTTGAAAGGGGAAGTAAAAATAAGTTTGCACACATGAATACCCTTATAACTGGACTGCGGCTGTGTTCACAAACTGTCACATTCAAACTATTAAATGGGACTCACTTCACACCTGCCGCCACACAAGTGACAATGACGAACCTCATATCAATTCCACTGTTATAGTAGCTTTTCCTTGCATTTTCATTTGTTTTCTCGCAGGTAGCCTGGGTTAATCCTAACACTGACTGCTTTTGCAAACTGTTCCATTGTTCCCTCAACCTTGTCTGAAGAAAAACTGAACCAAAGCATTATGCTGCCACCACCATGCTTCGTTGCATAGGAATGGTGTTGCTTTGGTGATGAAAAATGTTGTGTTTGCGCCAAACATATTTTGGGAAATTTTTGCCCAAATGTTCAACCTTGGCTTCTGCTGTGTCCAGTAAGTTTAGTACAATGACAGTGTATCAACGGTCCTTTATTCCGATGGCTGTCACGTGTACACATTAACTTAATACAAGCTTAGGCAAAATACGGCCCAGGCTCCACATCCAACCCGACCTTAGTCTCTGACTGACACCGACAGTGACCATGAAGTCGAGGTAAAATGTAAAATATAAAATGCCTTTATTTTGAAAGTTGCACTGTACCTACCTGACCACAAGCCACTACTTTTTTCCCCCACTTTTTAAAGCATGCTGCTTTTCACACAGCCAAAAGATTTACAGGTAGCCTCATAACCTTTAACCAATGAAATCAGCGAACACGTCACAGTAGACCAATGAAAATGTCCAAGTCCGCCCTTATACAAAAGTCATTGGCATAGTTCAGTGGGAGCCTTGAATGGTGTACTGTAATCTTTTACCAAAAGTGGCTGCATACAAAAGTGAATGTAACGTAAGCATAACACCAACAAGGGGTTTGCCATTGAAGTAGTGTCAACAAAGTAACTACTGTATAACCAACAAATTTTCAAAGGCTATTGGCTTGTGCATGTTGAAGTACACAGCTCCAGCTCATCTGCAAATTTGTCTCAGCATGTAACTGTCACCAGCGACAACAAAACAGCGACTGAGAATATGTGTATGAAGGACTTTTGGGGTTGTTGAAGAGGGCTTTGCTGGGTTAAGTGCACGGTAAGAGAAAGATAATGACAGATTCTGGGAGGCTACTCTGTAACTAGCTGTTTAGCATTGTTTGGAAAAACATTTGAAACTGAATGAACAAATAATCATTATATTTTGGTACAAACATACCAATAATGCACTCTAAGCATTAATATAAATCTTATAAACATGCATTCAGTCTACTTACAGAAATCGCATCTTAACATTCACCACTAGTATTATCCTCCGGTGCTCTCAGTCATGCTGAATTTGAGTTCACAATAAACATAAATGTAGGTAAAACACGAATAATGCAATCGAAGCATTCATATAAACTAGTGGCATCAAGCAACTGGAATGTTTGAACTAATTAATTGCACAATTTTACGCAATCATCACAATTATCAACTATTTTCTTTTAACACATTGAAGCTTGTTATATATTGAGTCAAATTTTGGAATTCAGGTAAAATGCAAAGAATATTTCCATTCAAAGACTGTTCTAATAGTTCAATACTTTTCCTGTAAAATACAACTGTTGAACAAAACAATCAAAAGTGGCTTAGCTTTAGAGGCATTTTTCTTGTATTCTTAAAAACAATAGACACAGGGAGGTCATTTGAGCAGGGTGTTTTGCTCCGAGATGAAGCGCCATAGATGTACAAATAATATGGTATTTGACTTTGGCTTTTCAAGGTGCGCAAACGATTTGGGATAACTCCAACGAGCAACTTTTCTAAAGTAAAACTTTATTAAAGTCCATCTTTGTCTTCGTGCCAGTGACTCTTCTCTATGTTTGACTGCAAAGTGAGTCTAGGTCAGCTGCCACAGGAAGTAAACAAAATTTAGTTCATTTTGTAACGCTCTATAAAATTTAAACTCCAAAGTTAACACTTTAACTTTGACCACCCTAATAAAAACCTTTTAAACATAAATATATAAATCTTATGTTACATTCATACTGCAGGATGTGCTACCTAATTCGGATTTTTGTTCAATCTGATCTTTTTATGTACTCGTTCACATTAGAAAAACAAATGCGACTCCTAATGTTAACACAACGCCTGACGCCGAGTGACATGCACCAAAGAAAACGGTGTCACATGGCAAAGTCTTTCGGGAAGTAAGTATGACCCCACGTGTATGGGTTATTTTATCATCTCATATCGCTAGAGTCGCGAGGCGAGAGCGATTAGAAGTATTTTGGGAATATGAGGCAACCCTTGATCCTTTCATTGAATTTAGACGTCTACTAAATATGACGTAATAAATGAACTGTCCCACTACACAGTGCAGAGGTGCAGGGTTTGATTCCGGCTCCAACCATCCTGTGTGGAGTTTGCATGGTCTCCCTGTGCCTGTGTGGGTTTTCTATGGGTACTCCGGTTTCCTCCCACATTCCAAAAACATGTTTCTTAGGTTCTTAGTATTTTGTATTACCATACTGATGTATCATTGCAGCTGTCGCTCTCTACATACTTGTACAACTAGAATGTCTCAGCACGAAAGCACTGAAGGACTTCTCTGCATTATTGCAGGTTAATGGGATACTCTAAATTGTCCCCCCACCGGCAACTCTCGTGAAGAGAAGCGGATTGGAAAATGGATGGATGGATGTTAATGATGCACCTACCTCATTAGCTATAAGATGTAGTAAATATAGTTCTTGTCATATGTAAGGTATTGATTTATTTCCTTCATAGGTATTTGACTTTCATCTACAACATATCAGAATCTTTGACTCACTCCAACATTACTGTCAAATTAGTAATGGCGACATGGACCTTCTCAGGTAAAGAGTTAGACACACCATTTGTTATTCATTTAAGTCAAGTATGTGGCATAAAGTGCATAAACAATTATTGCCAAAGTATTATGTTCTTTAGAAATGTATTCAGAAATTAAGATGGTCTTGAAGGATGGAGAGTGATCTATCCCCCTCAATGGAATTTTCGTGTATTCTCTGAGCTAGCTGTTGATTCATTATGCAGATTTGCATGCTGTTCAATGCAAGTATGGTATGATTTTAGCAAGTGATTTATTTTTCTTCCCAACTAGGCAGCTTGGTGGCCCGTGGGGCGAGTGGTTAGCGCATTGACCTCACAGTGCAGAGGTACCAGGTTCAATTCCAGCTCCGGCCTCCCTGTGTGGAGTTTGTATGTTCACCCCTGTGCCTGCGTGGGTTTTCTCTGGGTACTCCAGTTTCCTCCCACATTCCAAAAACATGCTTGGCAGGTTAATGGAACACTCTAAATTGTCCCTAGGTGTGAGTGTGAGTGCGATTGTTTGTCTCTGTGTGCCCTGCGATTGGCTAGCAACTGGTTCAGGGTGTCCCTCGCCTACTGCCCGAAGACAGCTGGGATAGGCTCCAGCACGCCCCGCGACCTTTGTGAGGATAAAGCGGTTCAGAAAATGGATGGATGGATGGATGGATGGAAACTAGGCAGCAGAAAAGGACGTACATCTTGAACCACGAGGTCACAGCAGAGACTCTTACACTTAACCAGTGCAGGACTGTAACTCTTTATGATACTTCTAACATTCTAAAGAATGTCAATGTAGAGGGAAGAAGAGTTTCTGCTTTACTGCTTAAAAGATAAATGATATATAACAGAGAATTGTTCCACAGGACTTTCCACCAACTGCTGAGGTGTTACTTAAAAAAAGAAAAAAAAAGAGCAACAACTTTAACAAGCTGAGGCAAAAGATGATGTCAAACGTTGCCTGGCCTGGAGTATATAATAATTTTGTTCCATCGGGCAACTGGGTCGACCACGTATCTACAACAAGAATGAAAACCTAAATATTATGACATACACACTACACACAGTGGACTATAAAATCTGAAGTAAGGAAACATACTTTCAGACATAACAAACAACCATTAGTTAAAGTGAACTAACTCACTATTACATTACACCCAGAGCTGTTACAAATTGTACATTTGTCCCGCATCTGTCTGTCAACAGGGTTTTACATGAAATAAAGCACTACCCTTCGGTGGGTGTACGAGTTGCAACAAGTGTTTGCCTTTCTAGTGCGCTGATGTGGAATGGGCCTGAATGTCAACAAATTTCAATTGTGGGTACACGAGCAACTATGAAGTTAGATGCACACCACATTCTGGTCTCAGCGACATTTGTTGTCTTTGTTTTTCTTAAAGAGTATGAGGTTGGTTTCCACTCCAATGCCTCGTAATTTTCAGGGTGCTTGTCATTCATCTATTCATCCATCCAATCATTTTCTAATCCGCTTATTCTCACAGGGTCACAGGCACGCTGGAGCTGATCCCAGCTGTCTTTAGGGTACACCCTGAACTGGTTGCCAGCCAATCGCAGGGCACACAGAGACAAACAACCATTTGTGCCCACACTCACACCTCTGGAGAATTTAGAGTGTTCCATTAACCTGCCACGCTTGTTTTTGTAATGTGGGAGGAAACTGGAGCACCCGGAGAAAACACACACAGGCACTGGGAGGACATGCAAACTCCACACAGGAAGGTCGGTGCTGGAATCAAATGCTGCGCCTCTAAACTGTGAGGCCGATGCGGTAACCAGTCGACCACCAGTCCGTGTGTATTTGTGTATACTGCAGGGGTCACCAACGTGGTGCCTGCGGGCCCATGAGGACCACATCAATAGCCCGCCAGTGCTAGGATTGTGATTTGCTAGTAGAAATTATGATTTAAAAATGCAAACACTGGCAGTATTGTGAGACATCTTTAAGATGATCAGAGCCTGAAAATTAAAATCATTAAGTATTAAAAATAACACATTCTAATATCATTAAATGTAATTTGTACTGATGTTATTTCAGACGTGTATCAATTTGGTAGCCCTTCACACAATCAGTACACACGAAGTAGCTCTCACTCTCAAAAAGGTTGGTGACCCCTGGTATACTGTATATACAGAGCTGCATCTTCTGATGGAATCTGTGACCGAGTACCAATTTTTGCAAACCTTCTGATCACTGTATATGGCTGTATGCTACATTTTAATAGAATCAAAACAGATTTTGCCACAAGAGTTTGAGTGGATTTTAACTACGAGTAAGGTATGGTGTGAAAGCCAGTTCAGATTGAGTTTAATTTCATACCTACCTGAATCTGCTATTGCAACACAAACTATATGAGATGGATAGTTCTTTGAAGGAATTTGAAGAGAGGGAGTGGCCCACACTTGAGGACAATAGCTAATTCATCTTTACTCTCGAAGCTCTATCGATTTAAAAAAATCCAATGAGTGGTTTATGATACCACTGTATGTCTGCTAGAACATGCAATTAAATTGTATTGATCAAAAGCAGATGAAAAGGTAACCACCACAATTCTTGTATTTTGTTGCCTCCAAGGTGAAAACGCCATCTACGACATCATGACTAATACTATTCTGCATTATTAACCATGCACCTTTTGAATGACGTCAAAAGTACATTGAGAGAGTGTTGTGGTCAAATAACGTGATTTCAAATTGCAAACTCCCCCTTCACCGATTTTTCATTCCGTATGACTGACACGGGTCACGTTACAGCACAGTCACGTGTGTCACGATGCGGATGCTGCCAGTGCCACTCCATTTTACGTGACAACGCACGTCACAAGAGGCCTTCAAGAATTGCATTCGAGAGACTCAGCACCACCTAGCGTCGTGAATCGACTCGTCTTGCAGTGGTCACCACGGGAACTCTCACACTCTAGTAGCCTCTGCATTTCCTTTGACGAAGGCTGTTAATTGGTCGACTGCAACGTCCGTTATGGTTTGCCGTCCGAAGCGCCTTTCTGATTGGCCAGAGGACAGCCAATGGCGCTAGCACTACTGCCATTGGTTGGAAAACTAGGTTAGTGGTCCGACAGGCATGACGGTGAAGAGAAACTGGGTCACCGATTGAAAATCGTTTATGTCACAGTTCTTTGACTTTCTATAACACATTACCCAGCGGTCTTCAATGGATCGTCAAATCGTAATGTAAGTATCACATGTAAATCAGCATGCGCACTGTCTCTGTTGTATATCGGAGACTTCTGCCTCTCCGGTGTTCATCCATGATGATGTATGTCGTCGATGTTTTCCCAGCGTTGGGAAGGAGGGACAGATTAGCTCGCTGGCCAATTCTTGACATTTAGCGTTCTGCGGCTGGTAGTCAAATGGCGTTATTAGTCTATTGAAATAAATGTTGTAGTGGTGAAATGAATGGGAAACCACCCATGGGTTAACGTTGCGTAAATACAGCTAATCGAATCTTTTAAAGGAAGCGCTGGAATTTTAAACCTCTGCCTGTGCGTGTTTCTAAAATATGTCCAGTGCTAACGACCAGGTGAACAATGCTGCCTAAAGCTAAGACGTTAGCTATGTAAACAGGCCTCGGTGAGCAACTAGTGCACTTTTTCTTCGAGAGCATCCTCTCTGTTCTGAAAACTTCAAGACCCTATATGTACTATTTCCGTAAAGCACGCGGCGAGGTGTGGTAGCAGCCCACCCTTAGCCCCGAAATGCTTCCATACGTCAGGCTCATATTTGGTCATGAAAATCGTTACAGTTTTGGTTGGCACTGGTTGTCGAAATGGGACGCCAAGCACTGTTGTGTGGGCTTCGAAGGGGACTCACGATTCGAGATTTATGTTTTAGTGTTAAGCTTGTACTCGTCCACTTGAAGCCGGCATAATGAGATTGCTGTCATGCACATTATGGATTCGTGATTTAAAGCAAATTCTCAGAAACAGTAAAAAAATAAATAAAACAAGAGCCTGATAAGTTTTGTTTTCATTTTGTAGCTTATTTGATTAACATTTTGTTTAAGAACCAAGAGGTCTGTTGTGAACTTCAGACTTGTATTTTTGCTGATATCCAGATAGCAACCTCCTTTGTCATTAGTGTTGCCACGAAGGCATCATGATAAGAGCAATGTTCTGTGACTCAGCAGTGGAGTACCGTGGTAATTGTGATTTTTTTTTTTCTTCTCCACGTTGATGTTGACCCCTCCAGGATGCACATTACAGTCACTAACGGTGTGCCACAAATTCACAAATTGTGGTGTCCAACTTGCACAATTAAAGCTTTCACAAAATGAAAGCTTCACTATTTACATAGCAGAAAGCCCAATTTTTGAGATCCTTTGTGGTAATTTGTCCTAAAATCTGCATATTTTTAATTTGAGTTGTAAAAATATCCACTGCACAAAGTTTGTGCTGCTTGAAACTCGCAAGCTACACTTTTGTAATCACAGTATTATACTTTTCTGTCATGACTACTGGCACAACTATATTTGTGAGCACAACGCAGATTGCAGTTTAACTTGGATCACATTCAAGTTTGTGGTAACAGTGACACAGCACCTGAGATATCAACATGGTCCAAAAATTGGTTTAAGTTGTGACATTTTTTGAATTAAATGTTGATTAGATGTCAGTTTTGTTTAAGCCAGACTTAGTAATAATATGTATTTAGGGGCACAAATGGACTTGAACATGTCCGACCAAAAAAAAAAACAAAAAACTGTTTTTTAAGAGATTCCTGGCATGAGAACAAAGACGTGACAAGATCATTAGAACTATAAACATGTAACGAGCTCACATTGAAGTAAAATAAATATACACATATTTGTTGTACTGTAGTTTATTAACATATGGAAATAGTTGGCTGGCATGTAAATGCTGTGCCGCATCATATTGAGATCGTTTTTTTAATATTTTTATTTCGCGACATGAGAGGGTCAGAATGTTAACAGCAGTTTTTTATGTTACTGAAGGCTGATTGTTTTGTTGAACAACTTTTATGGTCCATAATATACAATAGAATTGGAAAAAAAATAGACAATACCCCACACTGATGCATCAAGTACCGGTACCAGTATTGTACTGTGAATTTTCCATCCATCCATTTTGAAAACTGCTTATCCTCATAAGGGTCGCGGGCGTGCTGGAGCCTATCCCAGCTCTCTTCTGTCAGCAGGGGAGGTACACCCTGAATTGGTTGCCAGCCAAACGCAGGGCACACATAGCTGAACAACCATTCGCCCTCACACTCACACCTAGGGACCATTTAGAGTGTTCAATCAGCCTGCCATGCATGTTTTTGGAATGTGGGAGGAAACCATAGTACCCAGAGAAAACCTACGCAGGCACAGGGAGAACATGCAAACTTCACACAAGAAGGCTGGAGCTGAAATCGAACCCTGCACCTCTGCACTGTGAGGTCTGTTTCCTCCAAAATATGAAAATTGCAAAAGTAATAATGCTTTTTAAGAATAAGACACATCTTTACTAACTACTGACCAACATCTCTTTTGCCTCAATTAAAAAAAAAGAATCATGAGAAACATTTTCATCTTCACCTTGAAAAGTTTCGGAATAAGCATCAACTAAGAAATGAAAGTAAGTACGGTTTCAGAATTCAAAGAGCTACTGCAATGGTAATAATTGAGGCAATAGAAGAAATTACAAATGCACTTCATTTTAAAAATGCTGTTGGTGTTTTTGTTGATTTATAAAAAAAGCTTTTGACACAATTAATCATTCAGTCATGCGAAAAAAGCTAGAAAATTATGGAATTTGGAGTGTAGCTGGACGATGTTTAAGTTACTTAAAGCAGGGGTCCCCAACCTTTTTTGCCCCACTGACCGGTTTATGTCAGACAATATTTTCAGGGACTGGCATTTAAGGTGTGGTGGAAATAATACAACAAAATAATATGGTATGAGCTGCATGAAAACTGTGGTGTTTTCGAAATATAATAATAAACACAAGGAGCGTCTAATCTGGCCGCAACACTCCGATCGCTATGGCAATGTTTAATGCCTTCAAAATACGATACAACGCAAATTCAAAGTGCATGAAAATGACGACTCACCACAGCCCCGAACTTGATTTTCTGCAACCAGACGGTCCCATTACGGGGTAATAGGAGACAATGACACCACAGGTGTGTTGTTTATGTCCAGTGTACTTCGTAATTTTGTTTTAGTCGCCATAGCTGCAGAAAACCCCCGCCTCACACAGGTAGGATGTCGGAAATAGCAACAGTGCTATTGTGGCGATCTCAGAGTATTCAGCCATAACTTTAATCCAGTTGTCTCGAACGTACTTTTAAGGCCGCCGTCATTTGCGATCTCCAGCAGTTTTTTTACTCATTTTGCGAGCTCCGGCGTTTTGTTTTTAGCGTAATCGGTCACGTGATGGAGAAGCGTGGCTTGACGTGTGTCAAGCGTGACACAGATGGATGTAACGGAGAATCCGGTAATTTTTCTAAATAAAACATCTTTCTTATTCCGAAATAAATAAAACGGAATTAAGGCAAGTTCTTTCTGTGCAGCCTGGTACCAAATGCCCTGCGGACCAGAACCGGTCCGTGGACCGGCGGTTGGGAACCAATGACTTAAAGGATAGGGTTCAAATTAAAAATGGGGCAGTATATATTTAATATATAAATTAAAATATACATGTAATATATATACTTTTTAACATTTCTTGTAGGATCGGCGCTGGGGCCAAACTTTTTAATTTGTACATCAATGACATCCTGAATGTATCCAAAGTACGAAAATGTATTCTTTCTGCAGATTTAATATTTTCTGTATTCGTGATAAACTGTAATTATAATGAGGTCATAGCTACAGTGAACAATGAAGTATATTGAAAAAGTGGAAGCCCATAAACAAATTATGCTGAATCACGAACAAAACCAAGCAATATTGTTTGATAAAACAAAGCACTGTTTGGTAATTGAATAATGGATTCAGGATATTGATAATAAATTGTCTTGGAAACCTCATGTCAGACACATAACAAAAATTCCAAAAAGCCTCTCAGTCTTAAATAACGTAAAACCATACCCTGATGAGGAGGCAGTACGTATTTTCTATTGCACTTTGGTTCTCCCATACTTTATAAATTGTTTTGAAATTTGAGGAAATACCACCAATCTATTCGTCACCCTACAGAAACATGTGGTGGGGATCATTCACAAGGCCAAGTTAAAATTTCAGGATCTTGTGAAATAAAATACTACTATAATCTTCTATAAAGCATGCAAGAAAATATTACCGACTAATTTAGAAATGTTTTATTCTAAATTAGCAATATTTACCTGTTTGTCCCATTGTCAAGGGAAACACAGGATGCTGAGACGAGAGGGGAAAAAAAAGAAACCACGATTCGATCTGTTTCTTCTTCAGTAGTTGTTCATTATTATTATTATTAACATTCTTGACCTACTGTGTGGAAATATGGGAAAACGCCTGAAGAACAAATACACTCCGGGTTTTGAAAATACAGAAAAAGAGACATTAGAATTACCAATCGATCTAAATACACTGAACCAACAAATCCACAATTTATTAAATTGAACACAGTTAAATTTTATGATCTGATTGAGTTTAAAGTAGCACAATTAATGTACAAAGTGTACACAACAGCCTGCTCTGCTACAATACTCAGTTGTTTGAGACATGAGGGAGTTGCTATAATTTCAGGGTACTAGCTTCGACAAAAAATTCAAAAGAAGAAACAGGGAGCAAAGGTGTTTCTGTAATAGGTGTTAATTTGTGGAATAATTTTGGAACTGACCTTAAACGGTCTGAATCTCTTGTTGTGTTAAAAAAACATGCAACCCCCGCCAATATAAATTAGCTTTAAGTTGGATAAATTGTTTAAATGCTGTAATTTTTTTTTTTTTTTTTTTTTGGTGTGTTAAATTGAGTACTGTGCTAGAATCTATCCTTGCAAAGCCCCTGTACCTACCATACTTTGTAGCCGTATGTACACAGTACGCATTAAATGTAATTGCAGTTGTCTACTTGAGTAGGTCTGTATGTTGACTTTTTTCCTTTTTTTTTCGTTTTGAAATATATTCTACATCAGGGTTGTCAAATACGTCGATCGCGATCGACCAGTAGCTCGTGGAGTCATCCCAAGTCTATCGCGAAGAGGGGAAAACCCACCAACCCAAATCAATTGTGTGTGTGTGTGTGT